AATCAGTAAGAATATCTTCTATGTAATAGAGGTTGAACTATCTGTTGTTTTGTACTCAAGGCATTTACAGTGTCATTGCAGGCCCAGGAGGAAAAACAATTCCAATGTCACAGTCTTTCAGCATGTCAAACATAAGTCTTAAAAAAATAACTTGTTCCCATTGGAAATCAACACCTAAAGAATAATGTAAAATATATCAAACATTATAAAGATCACTGTTACTGACATGGTGTAAAATATATTAACAATATTATAAAAATCAAATCCCTTTATGGGTCAAAATAAAGCTTTAGAACTTGGAAATTCAATTCTGAAAAATTCTGAAAGTAAACATCTTTAAAAATGTCTACTTCAAAAGTCTTCCTCCATTGTGAAACTTCATCATATTTTACAATTAAAATTATTTTAATATCATCTTCTTTCACTTTTCATCAAGAATTGTAACCAAAAAAGGTCCAATGAACTGCTATTTTGCAAAGCATATTTGAACTGGCATTTCATGAGCTTATGAAAAATGAAGCACTCCATTTTATGTACATGAATAAGGATGCTCTATACCCCACATATGAATATTAATTTTTTTACAGTTCTTCTCTGTGATATAAGAATGTTTAAAACTCACAGGGAGAAGTTCTGCTGCTAACAAACCTGTAACAAACCCATATTTGTAGGGATAATCATGTCAGCTGTCAGCACAGTGAGGAGCAGCTGGTTCACGAGGGATGGTGAGCCAGGAGTTGAGCAGAATAACAAGACAAGTGGGTGCAACATTTTCCACCAAGCAGTGAGGTTGTGGAGTGGCAGATCTGGATGGTGATCAGGATCAGACATGATCCAGTGCTCTCCCAAGGTGTCCCCTTGGACTCAGCCAGTTAAATGCTTTATCTACACCAAGCCCCCTCCCAGAAGGGGGATGCACGCCTGCCCTGCCATCAATACTGCAACACGCAGCCCTGGCAGCCAAAGGTGCAGAGTACAGCTGAATGCAGTCCACATTCTATGGGAAGAAGTCATTCAAAAACCTGAATGGGTGACTATATTAAAAAAAAAAAAAAAAAAAAAAAAAGCTGCTCTTATTGCCTTTTTAAAATGCCGTAGAATGCCCTTTATTCAAGAATAAAATAAAAAAGGGCTATGGGGATATATTTATGAGGAAATATTATCTATCAAAAATAGAGCATATAAGAATAGTCTGAGAAACACTTGTGCTTGCCAGACAGACATGTTCCAAAGGCTTCTGCAGAGCTACACAAAATGAGTAATTATATTACAGTTGCAGGTTTTAATGCACATGGAAAACACCCCAAGTAAAATTAACTTATCACTCATTTTATTTTTTAAAAAAACAATAGTACCAAATTCCAGGGAGAATAATGGAAACCTTACCAAGCATGTCAGCAGGATTCATGCAGGCTGAGCACTATATGCAACATTGATTTCTGCCTCCAGCAAGGGTCTACCTACAGGCATCAGCAACTAGAGGGTGAAAGAAATTATGAAGGGCTCATTCATTTCCAATGCCTCCATCATTTCCCACCCAGTTCCTCAAAGGGGTAAGTATCAGATGTGCTGTTGTTGCCCCTTGCAGGACAGCTACAGACCTAACACACTAGCCCTTTGCCCAAATGGTGAAATAAAAGCTGCTGCAGCCAGCATACAGGTATCTGACAATGAGAACAATGTAGTTTCTACCTCACTGTGGTGGTTTGACAGGAAATATGTTTTCTGGGATGCTGTGATCAGGCCAATGGATGCTCAGATTTTAATATTGGCACCTAATGTGGCCATTGGGACATTGGGACATTGGCCTCTGAGAACATGGGGTTAAAGCAGGGCTCTGCCCCGGGAGGCTCTCTTGGGTTCCGGTCAGGGAAAGGTTCAGAGCTGCCCTGCCTGGCTGCAGGCTGGGCGGGGCAGGGGCAGCCATGGGGCCGGGTGAGGTAGGCCCAGGGGCAGCCATGGGGCCGGGTGAGGTAGGCCCAGGGGCAGCCATGGGGCCGGGTGAGGTAGGCCGGGGCCTGGGCAGAAGGGAGGGGAAGGCCCTTGCAGGATGGAAGGGTGGAGGAGCGCTGAGAGGCATCGGGCAGCCACCCCCCCACCCCACCCAGGAGAGACAGAGAGTGAGCCTGTGCCTGTGCTTGTGCCACCTTGAAATTTAATAGTGGCCGGCCAAGAAGGAGAAGGGGGGAGCAGTGAGAAGATGCCCGGCTGGGCAGCCATCGGAGTTCCAGAGAGACAGAGCCTCAGATTTTTAACCCTTTTTTTGGATGATGGAAACCTTACAAATGCTAGTCCCCCTGGAGCTGAATGAGGAGAGAGGTAGAGATGAGATAAGAGGAAATGGGCCATGAGAGAAATAGAGAAGAACTCAGGTGGAAGAGATGATGGAGTAGCTTATGCTGGACTCTTTTTGTGTAGCCATGGACAGAGCCATGTTTCCTTGTGATACAGGGACTGCATTCTAGGGGGAAGCAATGCCTCAGGACCAAGAGGGTTCGGTGTGGGTACCCCTCGGCCCCAGGGGGTGAAAAATATGGGTGGGACAGATGTCCCAAAGTTGAGACTGTGCCTTTTTGGAGTGGGACGAAGCAGCCTTAAAAGTCGACCCTAGAAGCAGCTCTGGTCTGTGTTCAGTGGTGAGAGTGCTGGACATGAAAGGAAGAGGTCACCATTGGCACAAGAAGGACTCCTTCTCCTCTTGATGAACTGAGGATTGAGTATTCTGAAGGGTGGTGCCAGACCGAGAGTCAATGATTTGGGGGATGTATTGTATTGGGAATTTGGTGGGGAGGAGGAGGAGATGTATTTGTGAAGTTTTCATTTTCCTTGTGTGTTTCTTTTTTTTTCCCTTTCCCTTGTAGTTTAGTTATTTTTTTTTTCCTAAGTGGGAGCCTGCTTTGCTTATTCTTGGTCACATCTCACAGCAGAAACCAGGGACAAAGTATTCTCATGGAGGCACTGACATTGTGCCAATGTCTAACCATGACATTCACATATCAAGCACTGCAAAAAAAATATCCTGAAGAACATGAAAACTAGGAAAAATAAATGTTTTTCCGTTGCTTTTATTTTTTATCCTAAATTTTAGTAGAAATTGAGACTCTTTAAATGCTACACATATCTAGGAAATCTTTAAAACCTGATGTGACTTCAGCTAAAATAGGAGCATTTGGCATCTCAAAAAGCTTCCTATCTCCATAAAAGGCCTCTTTTCATCTTTCTGAGGAAACTGAACAATACAACAGAAACTTTCAAAACCTAGGTGAAAAACAGCACACATAATGAGGGAGCTTCAAATATCTGTATCTCAGGTTTGGACTGTTTTAATATAGCAAAAATTATTTGACATAAGTATGTTGGAGATTTAAACGGTTCCTGAGGATTTCTACAGCAGGCGGGAAACAATCATGATATTCAAAGCACTACTCTAAACAAATTGCTCTACTGGAATTGTTAGCTCCCTGCAAATTCTATAGAGTCTTTGACTATTACTGTAGAAAGAGATTCACATTATTTGATAGATTTCAATATGCAGTTGGAAGAATGACTAACACACAGGTATCATACCTATCTTTATTAAAAGAAAATAAAGCAATCAAAGGACCCATTCATTTTGAGTGATTTCCCTGGAGCTGGGCTGATAATCAAATACTATAGGATACTATAGTACTGCTAGTGATCTTCAAAATTAATAGCAAACATATATATATATATATATATATATATATATATATATATAAAGGAGTGAGATTTACAGAGTAAATATATCAAACAAAACAGTTTCTTCTCTTAGGTATATAAATCAAATAATGTCAGTGTCCGTGGATATGAACAGCATTGTATGGCCATTGATTGTTTACATGCTGCAGCACAGCAGAGTTTATGAGTTGGTTTCCTTGCTGTAATGAAATCGCAGGGACCACATGCCATATCCACTGTGGATACCCTATACACCAATCTGCCATAATGATCACATATGTATTTTGACCAGAATGTTAAGCAAGGATTACTTATCCTTAAGAATTATCTTAAAACACTGGGCAAGGTATTCCTAAAGAAGGAGTGTTAGAGATTTTGCAATTTTTTTTGTTTTTCCTATGCCTAACACTGAGATGAGGTGGCATGCAACTGGCTCCTGGGAAGATTTAAAGTAATTCATCAATTATTTTGTGAAATTATGCTGGTTTTCTTTTTTTTTTAATTTTCCATCACATGCAGTTGTAAATTTGGTACATAAATTATTTGTGCAAAGTTATTTATTACTGCTATATACACAGGAAAATTTTGAAAACTTTTCTGCTTTTCAGGGGATTGTTTTAGCAATCTGGGTAAACATGTTAGCTGTTTTCTTACTAAAAGGAATTGATCCCTAATGTGTTTTCATGAGCATATTGCATATATATCAAGTCTGCCTTAAATTGTGGAGGGCTGGTATTTTTGCTTGTTTTGTAACAAGATGCACCAAGATGATCTTAAAGAAATGTGAAATATTTACTTTAGGAAATTATTTTGGGCCTGAAATACTTCATGCACTGAATCATTTTCAACTGAGGAATGAAGAACATCAAATTGTTACTTTTACATTTAGCCAACCCCAAAACACCATCTGGATGGGACCCTCTTAGTACTAAATTATAAGAATTTTCATAACATAGAATTATGGAATCATAGAATAGTTTGGGTTTGAAGAGACCTTAAAGGTTATTTAGTTCCAACCCTCTGCCATGGGCAGGGACACCTTTCACTAGACTTTTTCCTCCCACAGCACTAAAATTCAGTTTACTTAAATGACTTAAATGCTTTTTGGTCATACATCTGTGAACAGTTTAATGAAGAAACATTACAAAATTGGTAGGAATCCTGACTTTTGGTTTGCTTTGGCCAGTTTAAAAAAAAAACCACCAACAAACATTGTAACATTCAAAAAAAAAACAGTAATATTTGTACTTATTAACTGGAGTATACAAAATACGTTTTGTTGCCAAAACATCCCTGTAGCACTACAAGTTATTAGGTTTTATAACTACAAATTTTACTAAGATAAAAGAATATCAGGAATCTAATTCTTACCATTCTAACAACTAGAGGCCATATTTTGCCTTCCCTTACAGTCATGCAATCACAGTTGTTAACTGTTGTAAGGGCAAAATTTAGCCCCAAAGTACATTTTTATCTAAACACATATATTTTCCTTTATATAAAAAAGCCAACCAAGCTATTCCTTATTACTGCTCTTCCCTTCTGAAGGGTAAACTCTGATATTTGAAATACCTAAACTGTATTTACAGCTGTACAACTCCGACACCACATACTTGCAAAACTTCACTTGTACTCTATAAACATGGAGCAACTTGTACCACCGTCTTAAACATTTTTCTTAAAACAGAGAAAGAGCAGAGCAGCTTAGACATTTTCTTTGTCAAATTCGCACACGAAATACATGGTAATGTGACAGGCAACATCATTCCAGCCCCCAGAGGCCACCATCTCCACACAGTCCTCCTCGTCGTAGGCGTTGTTGGGCTCCCCGCTGCGCCATTTGTTGAAGGTCTGCATGGGTGACCGGTCGGAGTAGACGAAATTCCCCTCCTTCTCCAGGTCGTTAATCCCAATGAAGACCCTGGTGAGCCCAGCTTGGTTGATGTACGAGGCAATCAGGTTGTTGGCAGTCTCATCCTTGGGCATGCTCAGCGTCCCTCCTCGTCCGTGGCAGTACAGCTGGGCTTCCTTGTACCTCTTCTCCTCCTTGACCAGCAGGTAGATCTTATTGTCGGTCTCGCGCACGCCGGCGACAGCTGCGGGGGAGGGCAGTGCTGAAAAGTGAGCACTCGCATTTCTATAAACCAAGTCACTGCACACCCCAAAATAGCTTCACAAATCAGAGGTGGAACGGTGGCACTCTTTACGAGCGATTACACCGATAAAATGGGGCAAAAAGAAAGTAGTTATATAAAATTAACCTACCATTTTTTATGAATTTTAGTTCTGTCGTCAGCTGGGCTACTTGAATATCCATTTCACCAATCGCCTTCCTTAGCTGACTGCACTCACAAGGGATGCCTGTGAAATGATATAGATACACCCAAAATCAAAAGCTACCTAATTTCAACAATTATCTCAACATCTTTATGAAAAGACCCAGCATGGCAGCTCTGGAGAAAGCTGTCTTGCAAGTGACAGACAGAAAATTAGAGCCTTCACTACCCTGCACCATTATATGATTCTCAGGGGTGCCTGGGCCTGTGCAGAACAGATCAGTTCACTTCCTCCGAATCTTCCATCCTGAATAATTAGCACTAACCTAAACACAGATAGATATTCTCTGCAAAACACACACAATATTTTTTAACTAAAAACATTTTCCAAAAATTCCCATTTTCAGTAAAATTATTTCCTTAGTTTTCTCAATGATTTCTTTCACAGCAAAAACATTGTTTGCAAGTTCTTTACAAGGAATATATCCCAGCAGATCCAAAATTCCAGCACATATTGCACATAATTACCTGCAAAATGAAGGTCTGTGTTTTTGAAAGTACAGAATTTACAATGCTTCTGACCATAAAATTAGACACTAGATAATAGTCTATTAACCCAAATTAGGGTATAGGTTTGACAAAGATAATCTGAATGTGAATACTAAAAGAATAATTGTTACATCTCTGGCCACAAATCTCAAAATGAGGATCAATTACTGTTGGCATTTATTACAGTTTGCAGTTCTGTATGTAATTATAAAAATCTGCATTGGACTACCCAGTTACTCTGCTCAGTTTTGTAAGTCAGTCTAAGCACAGGGTACCTGCCCTGCAAAACTGTGCACGCTGGCCCGGTGCACAGCACGCTGGCTCAAGAATTACAGTGACAAATTATGTTCTCATGAGAAATCTAATCTGTGCATCCCCAATGCACTCTGCCAGGAAGGGATGAATTCAGTCCAATCCAAACCTGCCACTCTTGCAAGGCTTGCACTTATGCTAGGCTGTTTTCCTAGAACATTTTACACCTCTGGAAGATCCATGCACCTCCATATAAGAATCTGAAGAGAGAGTGAGGAAGACTGAGCCAGGCTCTGCTTGGTGGTGCCAAGCAATAGGACAGGAGGCAATGGGCAGAAACTGTACATTGCACAGGAAGTTCCTCCTGAACATGAGGAAGAACTTCTTTACTGTGTGGGTAACTGAGCACTGGAACAGATTGTCCAGAGGGGTTGTGGAGTCTCCATCCCTGCGGATATTCAAGAACTGTCTGGACACAATCCCAAGCCATGTCCTCTGGGATTACCCTGCTTGAGCAGAGGTTGGACCAGCTGACCCAATGAGGTCCATTCCAACCTGACCCATTCTGTGATTTGTATTCTTGACAATCTCCTGCTCCTATAACTATAATCCATGAATGAGCAGGAGCATCCAACCTGCTCCTTTGAGTTGACTGGAAGACAAAGAGAGATATGCAGAGACGTCCCATTGCCCTGGTGATGACTGATACAGACAGTCTGACTTCAGTTTCCATCAGGCTTCTGGAGAGATTACTCCTCAGAGAAAGTATGAGATACTGTTTTAGCATATACACTACAAGTCCAGCAACTGCTGCAACTTCAATTATTTTAAACCATTTGAAAATATCACAGTGAAATATTACAGTTCCAATGAAAAAAATAATTCATTATTTCTCCCAGTATGTAAAGATGTATTTTTGTGATGTCTTTCACATAAACAAGGTGTGTTATGGATTACCTGGGTCACCATTAGGACCTGGTGGTCCTATGTCACCATTATCTCCTTTTTCACCTGAAGACATGAAAAATAACATAATGTTAATGCTGCCTTTTCTGTCACTAGTTCATTTAGCATTTATCTATTTTTTCACTAGTAAAATTCAAACGTGGAAAGTAGAAATATGCCCAAGCAAAAATAAAGATTTTTCTGTCCCAGTCATTCCACAATAAAGGCCAGCCGTAGCTATGAAACTCGAACCCAAATAATATGCACCAATATTCACTTCTTGACATTCATAAACTTCACAGAACCAGTAAATTCAGATGCTGTAGAGGGAAAAAGGCTGGATTTCCCTAAATTTTGAATCATGATCTAGATTATTAGGTAAACGCTAGTCCAAATGACTTAACCAGTATCACATAGGAAGCCTATGGAGTAGTCAACATAAGAAAAGACATCTTCTAACTCTTAAAAGTTTGCCAAAGTACAGCACATCTTCCCATCTTCTTTAACTGTCCACACTTGCGTGACAGTGCAAAGTTCTTTATTTATCCTCAAACCAGGATACTCACAGTACTTTAAGACTAAATATGCTGATGTCACAGCAAAGGTAACTGGTTGAGAAATCTCAGTGACCTGGCTGACTACAGTGTGAGAAAATTCCTACTAAGGTAAACTGTGAGAGTTGTTAGCCATTTTTCAATGGCTAAACTTTTCTCAAACATAAATGATCACACATTTTTCACCTGAACCACAAATGGAGAAACATAATTAAACCTACCTTTTGAACCAATAGGACCAATTTTTCCATGACGTCCTATGCTGCCTTTCTGTCCTTTGTCCCCCATTTCTCCTATACATAACAGAAGGATGAAAGGCACAAGGTAGCAATGTAGTCTGATTAATTCAGATTCTACTATGTTTGCAATATCAGTTTTTAAAATAAACAAATTCTATACCCCAAATATTCATTGAACTCCAGAGGTCTAGCTCAATCCTTGTGAAGAATTCACATACAGCAACCTAGACAGTGATTTTATCTTTGCTAAACAATTGACATTAACAAGGCATGAAGGTGTAATTGTCAACAGTTCTTGTTTGAAAACCACTGGAAAAGCTTTTCCAAACTTCTTTCAGCAGATCATGACAGATTTATGTTGAAAATACAGGGGATTGTTGCATTCAAACATGGATCAGCAGATTAAAACTATCATGGAGTTGAGAAGACCTAAAGGATCCAAGCACAACTGACATTTCATCTCAGACAGTGATTCTGCTGTAACTGAGGGCTGGCTTTGGGCTTAATGACTAATTTATACAATATAAATACTGTCATATGAGGTAGGTTTCCCTCTGTACCACACTGTTAGAGGAGAGCGGGTATGGAGGGACTGCAGGGATGAACGCCTGCTGAAGCTCCCATCCTGCAGAAATCTAAGCCCAAAACTGCTTTAGGAAATATTTATGAAGTGGTTTTCAAAGCCTGTTGAAAAGACTGCTTCTTTGCTGAAAGCAACCTCTGCTGTGCTCTGGTCTACTACACAGGTGCAAGGAAACAATGAGACAAGCTAGCAGGAAAATCCACCAGAGGGATCCAGCAACTGGACTCGTGCAAACTGTCACAGCTCAGCCTCAGCTGTGGATCCATGACAACTGAAGATCTGCTGCCCCCTGTTGCTACTGCATCTGGACAGAAATATGTCTTTTTGAAAGCTGGATAATTTTATTACCCATTTTGTCATTACCATTAACTTAAGGTGAAATCAATAATAAGTTTCAGAATATAAACTGGTCACTGCTGGGCTAAGAGATGTTATACCTATTACTCCATGAAGTCTCAAGCAACCCTTGTCCCTTGATGGCATGAGCCAGAAAGAAACCATTTCCTCTGAACTGAGAGAAGCTAAATGTGTGTGGTTTGTTGGTCTGATTCATTATTGGCAAGTCCTGCAATCAGTCATTTCCCTTTGTTTCTAACAAGTATCAAATTCAGACACTACTGGACACAGGCTTTCACCAGAAAACAAAAATGTATTTCTCTTATCTATTCCTACTGGAAGTACCAGCTTGTAATCAGTTTATCAAGTTGCTCTGAAAATGATGTCTCTTGCTTTGCATATTATTGAATTGGGATTACCACATTAAAGATTATCAGATGTTTGAATTCTTTCTCTTTTCAGGCTGTTACACCTGAAATTAAATAAACTCATTGATCTAATCTGTAAATAAAATAAAATATATAAAATTATTTCACTTTCTTTCTTGTAGAAATTGCCTAGAAAATGAACTGCTACTCAGTCACAGCCAGTAAAACCCATGTGCTCTGCTCAGAAGTAAAAGGAAGGTGTGTTATCTTGAGCAATGAAGACATACATTAAATCTCCTTTCCTCATTAAAAGAATTGTTCACATTTGGGTTTCTCTTACAGTGACTAACCCCTGCTTCCACTCCAGGGGCTTGCTTATTCTGCTTCTTCTGCAGAATAAATCACAAATTTTCAAGAGAAACACATCTGCCTTGAGGGTTTCAGAAGTTTTAATACCTTTTGTAAAGCCCTTTTTAGTAGCCCTATGGTTGTCAAAAATGCAGTCTGAGGAGTCTTAACGAAATTGGGAAGTGATAGCTGGAAAGAAATGGGGACAATAAAAGAAATTAAGTCTCCATAGACCAGAAACAGGAAATCAAACACAAAGAGTGAATAAAGAATTGAAGAAAGTCATCTGACATGTCTCAGATGAAGGTGGCATACATTGGAACCAATTATAGAAGATTTAAAGGATTTGGGAAGGAACTGAAGAGAAAGAAATTCTAAATTATCTTCTTGGTGGCTTTTTCAGGCCCACAAACAAGTGAAGAAATAAAATTCCAGAGATGAATGGTGGGCTGCAAAACAAGTGAAAAAATGAGGGGTTGCACTCTGTGCCATACTATAAATGGGGGTCACAGAATATGGGCAATCTCATCAGGATTATTTGGAAGAGACAAGAAGGTATAAAACTACCTCAAAAATAAAAAGGCATCAAAAAGACAAATCTAGCAGAAATGCAAATTCACCATGTCACAGACAAATTTAATTGAATCATGTTAAAAAGAAGAGAGCAGTAGTTTTCTTTCCAAACTTAAGGATTTTAAGACAAATCAAATCCATGATTTGACATAGAGGACATCACAGACACCTACCTAACAAGGAAAGTAGAAGTGTACCAAACCACACCAAAGGCCTCTTGAATCTAGTGCCATCTTTAACAGCAATCTGCAGAGGATACTTTGGAAGAGAACATAATATATAGATGAAGATTAAAAAGTCTTTCCCCCAGTACACCTCAATAGTCTTGCAGCAGTCAGCATTCCCAATGCAAATAGATTGCCTGACTTGAATGAGAATTATATTTTTAAAGTAATCTGCATTTAGGACACTTCATTTTTAAAAAACTATTGGCAACTGGAAATCAGAAAATTCCAAATATTTCAACAGGCTACAGAACTGAAATATATAAGTTATCCACACTAATGAAGGTCAGCGATTGGTGAAGGAACCACCAATTACTGAGGAACTTACTCTTGGTAGGTGGCTACAAGAAGTTACATCTTATCATAGAATCATGAAATGAGCTGAGTTGGAAGCAACCTTTAAGATCATCTAGTACCAACCCCCTTCCATGGGCAGGGACACCCTCCACAAGACCAGGTTACTCAGGGCCCCATCCAACATGCTCTTGAACACCCTTTGAAGGATGGAGAATCCATAGCTTCTCTGGGAAACTTCTTCCAAGGTCTCACCATCCTCACAGTAAATAATTTCTTCCTTATATGTAACCTAAACTTGCCCACTTTCAATTTAAAGCAATTCTTCTTTGTCCTATTATTACATGCCCTTTCCAGCTTTCTTGTAGATCCCCTTTACTGGAAGAGGCTCTAAGGTCTCCCTGGAGCCTTCTCTTCTGCATGTTGAATAAGACAAACTCTCTCAGCCTGTCTTCAAGGCAGAGGTGTCCCATCCACCTCTGATCATCTTTGTGGCTATCCTCTGGACTTCCTCCAGCAGGTCCATGTCCATTTTATGATGGGGGTCCCAGAGCCAGGGCTCTCATGGAGAGAAGGGTAGAGTGGGAGAATTACTTCCCTTAACCTGCTGCCCATGTTGCTGTTGATGCAGCCCAGGATGTGGTTGGATTTCTGCGCTGCAAGGGCACATGGCCAGCTCATGTTGAGCTTCTCTTAAACCAACACCTCCGAATTCTTTACCTCCAGACTCCTCTCAATCCATTCTCTACCCAGTCTGTGCTTGAGATTGCCCCAGCCCAGATGCAGGAACTTGCACTTGGTCTTGTTGAACTTCACAGGCCCACCTCAAGCTTGTCCAGGTCCCTCTGGGTGGCATTCCTTCCCTCCAGCATGTTGACTGTGCCACACAGCTTGGTGGTGTTGGCAAACCTGCTGAGGGTGCACTCGATCCCACCATCTGTGTCACCAACAATGTTAAACAGATATTCTTATATGAACGAACAGTGCATAAGCACAGGAGGCATTTTATATAGCTGGGGCAAATCAATTTCATCCAGCATTAGCCACCCTAAAGTTCGGGGTTTTAGTCTAAGATATTTATCTAAACTCCCACTGTAGGCAATGAAAAAATAAACACCTCTGAGTAGGGATCTGTCCCACTCATGTTAGACAGGTATCATAATCAGAATAGTAAGAAAATTTGCAAAGGAAACTAAAGCTAGTGAGAAAAAAATCCAATCTAGAGTGGCAGCAGAAATCTTTAAAGGATTTAAAAGTACATTCAAAGCCAAAGTGAAAATAGTACAGTACATTCCTGAAAGGAGGAGTTTCTATTTGGAGGCAAGCAAAGACAAATAAGTACCCTCATGAAACATTATCTCACTAGAATTATGTTAACAACATATTACCAAGCTTCTTCAAACCAGTGGTCCCTCTAGCCCAAAACTTTTTTCCTGTGATGGCAGCAGAAGCTGCAGTCCAGGAAGATCCCACAACCACAGCCACTATTTGCAGGTGAAATTGCTGGATCTGTCCCCAGCAGCTTCAGAGAGGGCCTCCTAGTTCAGGCACAATGGGATCTGGTGATTCTGTAATCTTGATTATAACCTCCTCAGACTACTCTGTACAGATACAAGAGTCTCAGTCTGTCCAGTTTCTCCTTAAGAGGCAGCTCCTCTTTTTCACATTTTTGGTGCCCATCTCTTACCTCTCAAGTCCTTTTTGAGAGACAAAGGCCAGAAGAACATTCTTGAGACAGTGCATGTCAGGCTTTTGTACAGAACAAGATCAGCTGCAAAAGAAGCTTCCTGTTTTGTCCTTTGTCCTTTTGTCATCCTTCTGTGATGATGGGCAGTGTTCTGTTGGCCTTGGGACTCTTGCTAATGACTTCAGAGCAGTCCTTGAGTTTTAAGTGACAGTTAGGGGTTTTGGCATCATTTAAGTATGGATTAAATCATGCATCCCTAATTTCCCCAGGCAATATATTTATTTACATTGAAGCCCATCTGCCACCTTTTTGCCCACTCAGTTTAGCAGTATTTTCTCAAAATCCTATTGAGTTCAGGTGGAACTGAAAGACAGTTTTGAACCAGATACCCACTTTGTGAATTCACAGCTGTCAATGTCAGGACTTTTATATGGAATACTGCCTGCAGCACTCCTCAGCGAGCAATAAATTCATGTAGAAATTGACTCAGAAATGCAAAGGATTGATTGATTACATATTAATGAGCAATCAATAATAATAAAATATAAATTAAGATATTATTACCTCTTTTTAGAATTTGATTATACAAATGACTGAGCACTCTGGCTCCAATCCAGTTAAATTAATGAGTCTTCTCTTCTACTTAAGAGGCTGTGGCTGTATTAGTAAACTAAATGCCTGGGATTATTCCCTGGCAGTGGGAACCAGGTAGTCAAGAATGGGACACCTCATGATACTAAATTGTCTTACTCTTCAAGCCAAGATAATCTTGCAAGCTGCTCATTGTGTTAGCTCCCAAAATACACCTGGGAAAGTGTTAGCTGGCAAAAGTCAAAATCACTGTGTTAACACTGCAAAGGTAGAGACAATTGAGTTCCAAGCCCAAGAACAGTATGTGAGACTGTATCACATACCATTATGGTTGAATATAAATTAAGTACAATGTATAAAGGCTGAAATTAAAATACTAAAATAGTATACATTTTAAATGGTTATGGCTCTAAGACAATTGAAATATCTTCAAGAACATAATTTTAATGTTCTGTTCCTTTAATGTTCCATTCCAAGTGTAAATCCACTTTGCCCTCCTTACTTTGATTGCTGTAAGGCACTCCGGGAATATTCACAGAATGGTACTGTTACAGAACTGCCTGTGTGGAATTTGAAAACATGGAAGTTATGGCCTCACAGACTGCACCAGGACTCAGTTAAATAACTGAGTTTACTCCTAACATGGGAGAGCGTAGTACAGCCATCAATGCCAGTGGGAAAGTTAATTCTGTGAACTTCACAGCCCAAAACTTACACTGCTTTAACCTGAAACAGCCATTGTACTCGACCCTGTGCCCCATGCTTTACATAAGGCCAACACAGTTTTATATTTTGCTGACATGCCATGCATCATAATTGACCTATACAATTAATTAAAAGCAATGAGGAAAGTAAGTGGAATTTAACCTTAATCAGCCCCCAAAGACATCAGTATCTCTGATGTCACCCTGAAGCATCAGTACAGTCAGAACAAAATTAATTTCAGGTAAGCACCAGAAAGTTCTAATTTTTAATTTTTCTGAGTTACCAAAATCTTGAGCTGTTCGGGTCAAATATTCCATGAGAAGATAGTTTCTTTTGTAAGCTATTTTATGGTTATTATACATCCATGAAGTTCAAAGAAACTAAGTACATTTTCCTAGATGAACTTGCTAGAAAAATGAAACAAAGAAAGAGGAAAGAAAAAAAATAAAAGAAAAAAGATTGGTGTGATTTTCATGGTGTAAAGACCAAGAGTAGAAAACTCTACAAATGTGGCAGAAGGATTACAGTTTCTCCCTCATGTAAACGATCACTTACTCAAAGAGGAGAAAAAGAAAATGGAATTTACCAGCTTGCATCAACAGAAGGAGCCAAATATTAGACCAAGACAAAATTATCAGGTTCCAAGATAAATACAAGGGGTTGAACACATGCTTACACACTGACTGAAATTCAACAGACTACTGCATAGAAGCAGGGCTGCTGTCTGTGGGTGGTTTTAGGGGCAAATGCAAAATGAAGGAACGATTATTTTTGCCAAACATATTGTTATATTTTATTTTTGTCTGAATGTTCCATCTTCTGGATTAGAAATAGGAAAATCCTTGGTCTGTTGGAAGAGAATGTACTCAGTCTCGTGCAGCTTGAGAGTCTAGAAAAGTATTTATGCATGAACTCAGCTACAGGTCTGCACATTACACACAATCTGTGGAGATTAACCAGAGACTAAAAGGTCAGGAGACTGAAAGGTTTTTCCAGGTCAAAGTTGGATATTCTTCTGTGTCCTTTCCATAGACCAGAAGTTACATCTGTGAAGTCTGTTTGCTTATCCAGTCAACACTGTGACATTCAAAGTGTACTGGATGTAGTATCATGATGAAAAGTGGTGCCATATAATCCAAATTGTTTTTAAGGTATCTGTGTTATTTTCTTTGACAAAGCATTTGTGGGAAGGAGTTGATTAAGACAAATATCTACAAAATGTACAGCATTAATGAAATTACTAGTTAATTAGGACATACTTTAAACAAGAGCTTGTTTGTAGAAATTTCTGTATGCAAAAACGGAAAGCAGAAAAATATGTTGCTACAGAAGCAGTAAGAATTTTTGCCTGTTTAGATGAAAGTACTACCTGGAAAAATACTGATACAGCATGCATTAGTACTCAATTTTCTTTAATCTCTTTCCTGTTTCATTTATGTTTTCTCGTACTGTGCTTCCACTTCAGTGTTTCTTCTTTCAGCCTCATCAGAATTTTGGACTTTTGCAGGTAAGAAAAACTAGAAAATTACCACTGTTATTAGCATTAATCAAGCTACCTTATGAGAACTATTTTTGAAACAAAAGCAATTTTACAGTAGAAAATAAATAAATGAAATGCCACATCATGATTGCCCTGACTGAAAAAGAGTACTTCCACATCTCAGAGGGACAAAGCATTTTGAAGTGACATGACAACATGCCAAGATATAGAAAAATGCAGGACAGCGTGATGAGAGGGGTTCTGAAGAAGTTGTCAAGACAATCTCATGCCAAAGGACACAGAGAAGGCTGAGGCACTTAGGGCTTTTTTGCCTTTGTTTCTGCTGGCAAGGGCTGCTCTCTGGCCTCCCAGTTCTGCACATTTGGTAGCAAAGATCTGGGGAGGACAAGCTACTCATGGCAGCTGACAATCGAGTGAGGGACTGCTTCCCCTGGATGTACATGGGCCCATGGTCCTGCCCACCCCTGAAGGCATTCAGGGGTGCTGAGAGGGCTAGCTGGTGCTGCTGCATAGCTACCAAAGTCTAACCAGCAGCTGCTAGGGAGTCCTTCACTGCTGAAAGGGAGGAAGAAGTAGAAGATGCTCCATGCTGGCAGGAATGGTTGATGCATTGGAGGGCGGCCCTGCCAGTCAGGAGGAGCTGGACAAGCTACAGAAATGCATTGGCAGGAATATCATGGGTTCAGCAAGACCCTAAGTTCCTCACCTGAGACACTTTGATGAAGTCCGGCCCATGGCTGGATAAAAAACTCCTTTGCCTTAGAGGGCCCAGAGACTTTTGGGCCCTCATACATGAGAAGCAAACTGAAGTCCAGCTGAGGAAGATGGTTTTATTTAGCTTGGAATACAGAAAGGTAAGGGGGGGAATTAATTGCAGTCTTCCACTACCTACAAGCAGTTTCTAGAGAAGATGCCGCCTTTCTTCTCAGAGACACACAGAGAAAGGGAAAGATGCCCTTGATTACAAACTACAACAGGTCTTTCACAATGACACCAGTGAAACAGTCTGATTAAAATTTATGTGGAATCTCCATCCTTGGAGATTTTCAAAAGTCTACTGGACAAGGACCTGAGAAATCTGCTATGATATTGAAGTCTGCCCTGTTTAAAGCAGGAGCTTGGACTAGAGGAGCTCTTGACAACCGTTTAACCTAAAATATTCTGTCATCTACACTTCAGTCAGTATTGCCTTACAAGAGCCAAAATTTTAGTTTCCAATATTTTTTTCTAAGAGTCATCCTTGAAAGTAAATCTACATAAGGAAATACATTGGCTGAACACACACACCCCTCATGGAAGTTAAAATTTTTTCAATGTATTGTAGGAGGAAGAGCTCTAGCTATGGGTTTTGGTCCCAGGGTAATCAGTATCAGCCTTCTGTAAATGCCTAAAGGAACAACATAATGGATCATGCATCATCACAAGGAAGTATAAATTATCTTTACAGTTGCTTTGAAAGAAAGATTGTAAACTCACTTCAGTAAAACTAACTCCAACCTTCTAATGACAGGAATGTCAATCTTTAATTTCAATATTGAAATCAAAGGATTTGACTCCTGCTAATTTGAACCTTTCAGAACACAAACCTCCTGGAAAACTTATGAAGGTCAAATTTCTTCCTTGCTTCAGGAGGAAAAACCAGAATTTTCTGCAAGACAGAGTGCTATGTTTCTCTCAGCTGCATAACTGAATACTGTTGAGCACCATTCTTCTCAAGAGCTCAAAATATCTTTGAACTACAATGCAAACAAATTTATCACCATTTCCCCATATCCAAAAAATGTGGGAACACTCGTGTTCATCTTTGCCTATTATGGCTTACTGCCTTCCCTCAATGGTTTTAATTAAGATGTTGTGAGTGTTCAAATTCACAAGAAAAAAAGAAACAAAAAAATTGAGCCTTGTGAATTTTTCCCCTCTGATCTAATATGAGGTTTTCATTTGCAGAAAACAAATTATGAAGGAGACATTATGATGCCTTTCTTCACAGAGACCTTTTTAAAAAATTGAGATTTTTTTTTTTTTTAATTTCCAAAATACATCTTTTTAACCAGAAGATAATACTTAGTCTACAGAGAAGTGCATATAATTTTACTGGTTTTGGCTAAATTAAATTAAGTTAATTTTTATCATTGTAGCTCTGAGGGTGCTATATTTGGGATGTATGACCAAAGCAATGTTGATAACACAGAAACATTCATTATTGCTGAACAGTGCTTGCACAGGGTTAAGGCATTTTCTGCTCATCACCCCACCCCACCAGTGAGGAGCTGGGAGTGCACAAGAGGCTGGGAGGGGACACAGCCAGGACAGCTGACCCAAGGGAAATTCCCTAAGGTTTGGCATTGTGCTCAGTGTGTAAAGCTGGGGGAAGAAGAAGGAACAGGGGGACATTTGGAGTGATGGTGTTTGTTTTCCCAAGGCACATTATGTGTGATGGGGCCCTGCTCTCCTGGGGATGGCTGAACACCTGCCTGCCCTTGGGAAGCACTGAATTCATTCCTTGTTATGCTTGTGTGCATATGGCCTTTGCTTTCCCTATTAAAGTGTCTTTATCCCAACCCATAGGTTTTCTCACTTTTACCCTTCTGATTCTCTCCCCCATCCAAACCAGGGGATGTGACTGAGTGGTCATGTGGGACTGAGCTGTTGGCTGGGGTTAAACCACAACAGCACAAAACAGAAATGGCCAAGGATGAATGGCCAAGGTCACCCAGTTAAGGAAGCAAGGACCCCCATCCTCATCATCTCACAAGAAAAAGCAGCATTTTCTCAGGAATTACTTCCAAAATATCTTCTTTATCAAAGTTACCTTTTTCTCCTGGAGGTCCAACTCTGCCTGGACGACCTGGGGCACCTTTCTCCCCCTTTTCTCCAGCCTCCCCTGTTGATACAAAAGTAAATAAAAAGAAGAATCATATTAAACCAGGACTATTTTCTGTTAGCAGCCGTGACAAGAATGCCATTCTCTCCAGTGAAAAAAATAGAAGCAGATGTGATCTGATTTAACAGCTTTACTTGACTGACAGAAAACAGATTTTTCTTCAATTGATGCAGACACTGGAAAACCCTGTCAATACGTTACTGAAGTCTCATACAACAGGTCTAGTTTTGTGGATGTTACTTATATCATTGACCTTCAAAAAGCCAACAGCACAATTCACTGAAGCAGAAGCTTCAGAATCAGTCCCCAACTTAGCACATAAACTTCTGTGTTCACCAAACTCTTTCCAAGCCTCTGCTAAGGACGTCCTTAAGTCTCAAGTGAAAATGGCTTAACTATGACCTCAAATTAAAAGAAAAAAAATGCCATTTTTGAGGCCTATAAGAAGGCACTGCTAGATCCATCATTAGAGGGCCAGTTTAAAGCATGAAAACATTAAGTCGCTACTTCATATACCCAGTTATATACTGTGCTTTTTAATCTCTGAAGTATGAACCACTATGTAGTGTATTTACATGCACATAGCTTGTGATACATCATTATATTCAGCATATTTAAACATCACTTTCTGTAAAAAGTGTTAGCCTCCCTAGTGCCTTTCATTAAAAATTTGGGGATGCTTAGCTTGTTTTGCCCACTACAGCTACACTACCACTGTACTCTGCCATTGACATGAAATTAAAATCTCTGACAAACAGAAGGTTAAAGAATTATTTATACAGCCACCTTGACAAAACAAGATTTGTATGAGAAAGGAGAAGAAAGTTCTATGGCTTCCACAGAAAATAAAGTGTTGGTATGTAAAACCCAGAGTTAGCACAGCACATATGATATCCCAACACTGTTTTTCTATGGAAGAGAGTGGGCATTAGCTGCTCTCCAGAAAGCTGATGGGAGCACCACAGCAGGAAAGTCAGTGGTTATCATGCAGCCCACAAGCCCAGCTCTCTGGCATAGCTGGCAGCTGTGGTTCAGAGAGGAGTCACAGAGACGACATGTAAAAACATGTCACACCATGGCACATTTCAAATATGCAGCCTCCAGCTCTCTTTCCAAATCTCTCTATTGTAGACCTAGGTGGCTGTGAGCTGAACTCAGCCCTCCATCTGTTATATTTTCATTCTTCAGGCTGCTCCAGACCATCTTCCCTGCCTTCAGACATGCAAAAATAGGCCATTCTCTGACCTTAATGAGGACAAACTTCACATAAGCCCCAGTGAATAATATTGTTAGTATGAAACAGGCTATAATTCGACACATTTGGGAACGTCACATTTTTATTATCAAGTAACCAATAGGCTTTGTATGATTGCCTTTCACCCCTCAGGGCTGGCTATGAGTTCTTTGCTTCCCAAAGATAAATCCTGACAATGACTTTCCCTTGCTCTCTGGAGGCTGAGAGCAGGCTATTACAGCCTATTGCTTTACACGTTCTTCAGAGTGAAAGCTGTGCATTAGGGATCAATAAAATAGATCACTCTTGCTTCAGGCCATTACACTTGCCTGCATTTATTCTTATAATACGATGACACTGCATTCCTCAGTGTGGGTGTTTTAAAAACTTTCTCCAGGAGGAGATTGCTCCATTACAGGCCCAGCTACGGACCAGTTGACATTTTTTTCTTATCAGCTGTTTTAAGGAGCAGGACCTTGGCCAAGAGGGACTGATCAGTGGTACAGCACAGCTTTGCCTTGTGTAAGTCCCTATTCTTGCTGGTTGTACCCTGAGCATTGTGCAAATTGAGGAAGTTAAGCCTGTGCAGGTGTCATGGGCAACAAAACAGTTTTCTGTCAAGACATTCAATTTAATTTTTCACCAAAAACCAATAATGTTTAACTTCTTGATTCATGAAATAAAGAAAGACACCCCTGTGCCTCCTTTCTGGTCTCCAGTCCCTTGATCTACAACCAAGTCCCTCCAGAGCAGGAGGCTGGGATCTGTGCATTATGGTCCCTACCTGACTGATCTGTTGTGGCCTCATCCACTAGCCACAGTCCCTTAGCACTTGCACTTCTTGCATCCCTCCCTGGATATTTGCTCCAACCCCACTGCAGGAAACAGTACTTTCCTTGTCAGCACACTGCAGCACTGTCTGTACAGCTGAGACAGGGTGAGATGTCAGTAGTGCTCCACAGTGCTGAGATGCCCCATACTCCGAAAAGAAACTTAGCCTTGCCAAACTATGTGAGCTATTAAGCACTCCTGTTTGGTGATAACTTCTTTCCATTACTCATATTCCCCATGTGAGTAGATGCATCAAGTGTGAGTGTAAAAAAATTGGGTTTTTTAACATAGCATTAACTTTTTTATGTATTGAACAACCTTGAGACTATTAAGACAACTCCTGATTTGGACTCTAGAAGGGAGACAAAACAAGATGGCAAGCTGCGAATTTAAGTTTTGAAGGACTGTTCTGTGTTATTTTTTTTCTCCACAATAGTAGTAACTTTAATTTCATGTGCCTATCAAAAGAAACTGGACTTTAGGAAGAATATGAGGGAGCTGTGTAGAGAGGCTTCATCATCCATTGCTTTTTCACACACAGCACACTTTTCTTATTATTAATATTGCTGGCTTTCTAAAACATGGTTCAGTCTGCTGTCTGTATTCTCAAAGCCATGGTTTTTCCCCTTACACTTTTCATCTTACTCCTTTATACTCTTGAGTTAAAAAAATAACCAACCTAACCAAATCTGTCCCCCTAAAAAAACCCCACCAAAATGACTACAAAAACAAACAAAGCAAGAAAATCTACCAAAAAAATCAAACCAAAACAAAAACACCCCAAACATACGAAAACCTCAAAACCAAAACAAACAAACAAAGAAACTCCAAAAAATCAACCAAACAGAAAAACCACCAAACCACAAACCACCAAAACCTGCCCCTAAGACCTAAACTGCCAACTTTAATCTCATTTGTGCTTTTACTATTCTTGGTGTCTTTAGTAGCCTTCTTCTTCATCCATTTCCACCTCCATTCTCATCTCGTGCCCCTTCTGATTTTCTCTTTTACTCTGTGGGATCTTAATTGATTTTGTGTCATTTTACATTTATTTAGTTTCCAGTCTCTCCACTCTGATTCTTAAGCTCTTCTTCCTCTGTTTTTCCCCTATTATTTCCTTCTGTTCTTCTAAAATTCCTACTTTACGCTCCCCTGCTTCTGTGTACTTTTCCCTGATGACTTTCTCCTTCATCACCCCATTTGGGCTCCACTTTTTGCACTACCTCTTAAGTGTCTATCCTCTGCCATTCACATATCCCATGGTCTCCCTAATTTCTTGCATTTTTCCCTGCATCTGTTTTTCCCAGATTCTGACAGAACCATGTCCAGCAGCAGTGGAACTCTATTTCTCCACCACTGGAGATGTTGCTGGCAGCCCAGGGAAGGAGGAGGAGATGGTGCAGATCTAAAAGCTGCAGTGAGCAAATCCTGATCCACGGCAGCTGAATTTGGGCACGAGGCCACACGTGTGCTCAGTTTAAAGGAAGCCTTGGCCAGTGAAATGAGTTGGAGTTATGCCAGTGGGGGACAGCAGTATCTCATCACCACCTCTCTGAGCCAGTCCCCCTGACAGCATATTTGGAACATTGAAAGCTTTTTAGGGATTTCACGTTAACTAGGTCTGTATCAGGTCATTTTGTGCTTCACTGAATTTGTACATCAATCTCTCTCAATTTTGCAAGGCTTACATCTTATGAAACTGAGTGAAATCATTAACACACAGCAGCTTTCAGGCCTCTCTCTGGTTTCCAGGCTCAGAATTGTCATCTGCCAAAGAGTCCTGCACAGTTTACACACTTTAAAAACAATTGTTGCACAGCAACAACAACAACATTATTATTATTATTATTATTATTATTATTATTATTATTATTATTATTATTATTATTATTATTATTATTATTGCATTACAATGGTAATCATAGATGCTAATTTTGACTGATTACAAAAATAAGAAAATCAATGCAAAGAAGTCACAAAACTCATCCTGTCAAATTCTCTGATATGAAAAATATTTTCAAAGCTTAGGGCTGTGAAATCTGACCCTTTGACTGATCTTTCATGCAAATTTGGACAACATATATTTAACTTGGTGGTGTTCTCCTCTGTAAGTCACTTTTACATAGTAAATATATCAAACAAATTAAACAACTTTACTCAAGCCTTAGTTAAACCTCAGAAGGCCTGGATATAGTGTTGTTCTCTCTAACAAGAACATCTGCAGAAGATATTCTTGTTAGAACATCATTGAGACTATTAAGACAACATGTTAGAACATGTTAGATGCAGAAGATTAAGATCAAAAGCCACTTATTGAAGTAAGTAGTAAAGAACAGCTTTTGGCTGAGTTCAGGCATCCAAAGCTGCATTAATAGCAATAATAACAATAACAACCATAAAAATAATAGACAAAACGATAATAAATATTAAGAAATAAATATATTCTTAAAGCAAATTGGCCAAGCACAGCCCACATCCCTGTAGGCCAAGTCTCTTGCCCCAAGCAGAGAGCAGCTGCAGACAATTTGGGCAGTGCCTGGAGAGGGCAGTTTACCCCCCAGCCAAACCCCTGGCCAAGCTGGGCTCACAATTTAGCTGTGTGAACAATTTAGCTGCAGAACAGAACTGAGCCTCACCCTTCCCAATCAGTTAACCACAACAGGCAATGCCTGCAGTCCATCCTGTGGCCCTCAGGCAACTCAGGAAAGCCCAGATTGGTACAGATAAGATTAATGGCAGCAGTTCTGGTTGGGTGGGTTTTGTGACACTACAAGGCATAATTACAAGAAAAACTGAAAGGTTTCTTGTGTGGTTCTTACACAATGCTTTTTTTTTTATTTTATTGTTGATGATAAACTAATCGTTTTCATGGGGGTTTTTGTCCTTAGTTAAAAAGTATTTCCCCGTGTTCAAAAGTGTTATATTTCAACAGAAATGTCATAGCCTTCTCAAGGGGAATTATTGTTATTGACTAAACAGAGCTGGGATTTCAACAACCATAATGGATGCTGCTGCTTTAAAATGCTAATTCTTCCCAGTGGCTGATTTCTTATGCAAGATATATTTTTTTCCTATGAAAAGATCAATAATTTATTACACCACCTTCTTTGGGCAGGAGTTTGGGGGCATATTCTGTAAAAATGTTGCCTTTTTAAAAAAACTATAGAAATAACTAATGTTTGCTTTCTTCTAAGAGGTATTTGAGCTTTTAAAAAATCCAAAGAAGACAAACATAAGACAAGAAAACACAAAATAATTCCTATTACATTGCAAAATGGAAATGAAAACCTTTCCAGATATAAAGTAGGGCTTTATGTTACAATTTGGGTACCACTGCTCAGTATAAAAACACAGAGCAACCAGGCAATGAATAAGAGTAACAACCACTAGTGATCATGAGAAAATCTGGGAAACTGGCATGCATTCTCTGAACCATTTAACTTTACCTTATGGACCTTAAAACTCCATTTTTAAGGAGGCTACAAACAGGGCCAAATAAGAGGACAACTGAGAGGTACCTTCTTTGTCTCTGTTAAAACTGTCAGTTATGCAACTGAGACTGTTAGAACAAAAATATTAATATTGGAATAATGAGTAGGTTTTCACATTACCTTTGAGGCCTGGAACAAGAATCTGAACAGAGCAGGACTCCTCTGCAATGTGTTGAGGATATCCAGATCTTAGCAGTGACAGGAAGGCAAGGCTAATTAGAGTCACCAAGAAAACCAGATCTCTCTTCATAATGAGCACTTACAGGTCACTGACTCCTAAACAAAAGAATGAATAAACAGTTATAAGAATTCCAAAGGCTTTCAACAGTTTCTACAACTACATCCCACTACAAACACAATATATATTTGTGTGCCATTACCCACACAGCATGAGAAGCACATGTGCAGCTTCTCCAAGCAGGTTATATGTTCCTCAGACACACATGAAACAGGCAGCAGCACATTTAGCAGGTTTTTTTGCTGTTAGACTAGATGGAATAAAGCCCAGGAGAAATTTAATTAAACAAGAAGGAGATTAAACAATGCCAATAATAGGCAATTCTATGTGCATAATTTCTGGAGGTGATTGGAGGATTTCTGTGCATGATTGGAGGCAGCTATCTGGAAAGGTGAAAGGAGATAATGCAGCATGTAGGCTTAGAATCACAGAATTGCTTAGGATGGAAAAGACCTCTAAGATCATCAGCCAACCATTAACCCAGGGCTGCCAAGTCTGTCACTAAGCTATGTCCCCAAGTGCCACATCTACACGTCTTTGAAATATGTCCAGGGATGGTGACTCAACCACTTCCCTGGGCAGCCTATTCCAGTGCTTGACAACCCTTTCCATGAAGTAATTTTTTCCTAATATACAATCTAAACTCCCTCTTGCACAAATTGAGGCCATTTCCCCTTGTCCATATTTCTTATAACCCAGGAAAAAAGACCATCTCCACCCTGGCTACAACCTCCTCTCAAGTAATTGTAAAGAGCAATAAGGTCTCCCCTGCATCTCCTTTTTCCAGGCTAAACCCCATTCCTCACAGGACTTGTGCTCCAGATGCTTCACGAGCTCTGTTGCCCATGTCTGGACATACTCCAGGACCTCCATGTCCTTCTTGCAGTGAGGGACCCAGATCTGAACACAGGATTTGAGGTGTAAACTCACCAGTGCCAAGTACAGGGGGAAATCACTGCCCTGGTCCTGCTGGCCACTCTACTGCTGATAAAGGGCAGGACATCATTGGCCTTCTTGGCCACCTGGCCTTGCCCTGAAAGTTGTCAGTACTAAGTTGCCACTTAGAGTGGATACTGCTCTAAAGAAATAATTCAGTAACAGATGAACCAACTGAAAGGCCTAAAAATTCACTTCCCATCTGCCTGAGCACTGGAATTGTGCCCAGGCAAATTGTCTGATACAATAGCCCTCATATAAGTCATTGAGGGTGGAAGGCAGTAATATTTCACTGTATCACTCAATAAGGTTGAATCAGAGTCTTCAATAACTCCTGAAGAGAATCACCTTTGAAACATATCCTAGTCAAAGCTGACAAGTGAAATGGCTTGCCTGAAATTAGACTGTGAAAAGATGTCCCAGAAAACAACCAAACAGAAATGGAGTTTGTGTGAAAGGACTGTAAAAAACAGTATTTAGGAGGCCTGTAAAAACACTTTGACAAAAATGTTATTTATGTATTTCTGATATATTTTTCATGTCGGTCCTTAACCAGAGCTCAGTAACACACAAATAAGCTGAAAGTCATAACAGGTTTTTTATCATCTTTTATAGCCACCATAAGGGTATATGCATTTTACATCTGGAGCAAGAAGATTGGGCTATATTAATTTCCACTCCCTGAATCCCTTCAAAAATAACCCAGATAGGATTAGGCACAGGTGTGGGACCAGTATGTGGGTCTGTGTGCCTCAATATGTTGGGGACCTAGGAGAGCAGAACTGTTATTTTTGGGATGGCCTGAAGGTATTAACTGGCATAAAGGATGTCATAGCAGCAAGGCCAAGTAGATGATTTTGGAGTTGGGGGAATAAATTGTCCCTCTGAATTACTTCCATTATCCCCTAGGAGACTATAACAAGGGAATCTGATGGGAGCAGACTTTGTCTCCTTCTTCATGTGTGGAGGGCATTGCATGAGTTACAGGCCAGGTTTCTGTGTGTCTCACAACCCCCTTGCTACACCATCTGTTGCTACATGCAATTGGGGGACAGGGGGTTGCCACAATACACAATCAGTTCTTACTGATCATCCAGATCTGGTGCAAAGAGTTGTATATGCTTTGAGTCCATTTTGACCCAAATCTTTTCCCAGGTTTCTTTCCAAAGGAGAGAGACCTGCAGCTGGAGGATCACACCTTAAAAGATGGTTATCTGTGCTTTGAGCTGGGAAGAGCTGTTGGGTCAAGAGATCTCAATACAGTCATAGTCTGATGGGCTACAGTAGGCCAGGAAACCCTAGGGAAAAGGTAATCCTGGATAATGTTGGGTAATTTTCCCATGGGGCAAGGGAGGAACAGGGACTATCTGAGGTTTTCCACAACCTGCCATACAGTCCTATAATGGGTAAGGCATAAGCTACTTCATAGACAAGCTTTGCCAACCAGAAGGAATACCTAGGAGAGTGTGGAACTGCTGCTCAAATATTTAGGCCATGGTAAGTTTTGTCACAATTGCAGCAATTATCACTTGAGGCTTCTCAGGAGTACAGGGCAAAATTGACTTTTGCCACTCAAGGATGAGGAACAGGAGCTAGAGGAGAAGGTACACCACAAAGCTGTGCATGGATCTGTTAGAATGTGTCCACAGGAGGGACACAAAGATGATCAGAGGGTTGGACCACCTCTCCTACAAAAACAGACTGAGAGAGTTGGAGCTGTTCAGCCTGGATGATGCCTTAAGTTTTAGCTTTCATATTTTTCAGATTTTGTGCTGCCTTACTGTGCAACTCTGAACTTCCTATTAAGTGTTAGCAAGTTCACTTCACGAGGTAGTTAGACAAAACAATCCTTTTCCAGGAGAACACCTGGTCACCAGCCTGCAGGACATCCTAGGCAGAATATCCCACTTTTTTATGTTGTAGAAGCACTTCAGGATTCAGAAGATCAAAGAGGCTTTCAAGCCAAGTGGTTCAGATACCCAGCTGAAAGCCTGGAAATTAGGCCATTTCAGCATGAGCACCTGGCAGACTGGTGATAAGGATTCTTGATGGACAAATTGGAGAGTGGAATGAAATGGCCTGAGATGGAAGAAATTGAAATTACAGTGGTGCTCCTGTCTCTGCATTACTGAATAAAAGGCAACATCATCTCCTCTGTCTGCATTTTATGAGGATTCAGATGTATCCAGACTCCAACTGAAAGATCAAAGGCTCCAGGTATGTTAAATATTAATCTGCCTTTGCAAACTCCTGCACAGCTCAGAGATGAAACAGACATGGAGCAGCAGAGAACTGTCAAGGCTGCTTCTTGGCTCTGCTCAACAGCCACACATGATGGATTTTCTGAGGAAAACAAAATCTCCAACAAAGCTTCAGCACATTCCCTGCTGTCTGCTACTGGGCTTACATGTCTCAGAGACAGAGGGGATACAACCCCACCGACCACATATTAGCTAAGCTCACAGAGGAAATGGACTTGTTCTAGAAAAAGAAGCTTCTTTAGTGTCATTCAGGTAACAACACCCAGATCCATAAGAATATTTGGGGAAATTACCTTGGTCTGAGAAGAGCCACTAACAGGAGGAATGTCTGAGGATGTTGCATATTAAAAACTCTCTAGAATCTGTGGTTGCAGTAAAGAGACACATTAATAGTAGAAATCAAGACAAAAGCACTTTGTATATCACTTTCTCCATCTCTCCCTTCTTTCAAAAGAAACCTTCTGCAGCTAAAATTTCTTTCTCTGATTGAAAAATCAGTTTGATCTCCAGGTATGTGCTACAGCAGACACTTTCACTTTAAAATCCTAGAAAATTTTTTGTCTTTCTGACCTACTTTCAAGCCCTTTCAGACCTAGGTGCATAAAGTCATTTAAGAAAACTAAATCTCACTGAAACTTGTCCTCAGATAAAGGAGGACCAGCCTGTTTTTTCAAACACTGTTTTGGCCCTGGTATTTGGAGTATCTTCAGCATTGGTAAAATCAATGCCAGAGAGAAACCTAGACATGTTCAGCACTTGTAAAAGTATGAATATATTCTCACTGCCTATGCAGGGGTCAAAAGTCAAATTTATGGCCATTTACAGTGGCCATTAAATCAGTGAAAGCTGAAAGTACTGGAAAAAAATAGGAGAAGAAAAAGGCAGTATTTACTTAAAAAAATAAAAAATAATAAAGTGCCTCATTTTCCATCAGAAATGAAAACATATCAATGCAACCAGCACAATAATTTCAAAACAACTTTTGAGATCTCTCAGTTTCAGGAAATCTGCCTCAGTCACCAAAAGCGAAGAGGTTTCTCAAGCCAAGCTTCAAATGACAAGTCCTTGAGAGGTCATTGGAGAATCCCAAAGGCCCCACAGGCTCGCTCAAAACCCTGCAGGACCAGCCAGGCCAGCTGGCACTCACTGAGTTCCCACACTTCCCTCCAACTCTGGGGGGATGGAAAGCTTGGAGATCACTTGAGCCAGCTAATGCCTCATGCATGAAGTCCCTGTATCTCTACCAGTGGCTCCAAAAGTGCCAGTGGCTAATTCTATGCCATTATTTTGGACTTAGAAGAAACAACACAGATGATCCGCCAAGATGAAACTTAATGGATGAAAAATGCAGAAGACAAGTGATGCTTGCTGGCATTAATGCTCAGCCAGCCAATAGCTACAGAGTAACTCTAATCTTCTGTATAATCCTATAGGACTCATCTTTGAGCTGATTTTATTTCACTGCGTAGTTTTCACATTATGATTTTTTTTGCTGTTATTTTAAAAACTATACTTCATTCTCAGGTATCTGAGCTGAATTATCTATATTCTGAATTGAGTATACTTCTGGTACAGACACAGAAATCTGCAGAACCACAGCCACATTTGGTGAGTGACTTTCCCAAGCTGGTTTGAGTCAGCACTACAGACGCAGCAATAACTTTCAACAGTTTTCACTCCCTGACTTTTCAAGTCCTTGTCATCCACATCTCAACACCTCCCTGGCAGAACTCTCTGGCAGCTCACGTACCTTCAAGCCACCTGCAGGCCCTAAGCTGAATTCTAGGAAAAGCAACACATGCCCACAAAATCACGCCCAGAAAATAGCAGACTGTAACACA